CTAGAAACACAAAGATAAAAAATATTTAGAGAGAAATGTACATACTTCTCAACGTACATCTAAACTAATATCCTAGCTCCCATACCAAGAGAAATACATATTAGAAATAATCAGTATTTAGGATGGCTTGGTTTAGCTGATCCATACAAGGATGGTGATTAAATATGAATACCCATAAGTACACATGCCTACCATTGCCCTTGAATTCCTGGGTACATCTACAATTCCAATACTCTGCAGAAAACAGCTAGTGAATTTAATCCTTCCAATAACAAAGCTATCCTTCTACAATCTAATAAAATAAGAGACATTGCAGCACAGATATCACATATCCCACATGTGTAACTTCTTAATAACAAGCCACAACTGATACACTGTTCTTGAAAAAAAAGCATGGAACCTAGTCATCATTAAAATACATGTAAAGCAAAGAAGCACAAAACTTAGACAGACCCAAAACCCAAGTATGCAGAGTAGTTCAAACTAATATCAGGCACCTTATCACTCATGACAAACAAAGCAATTACAGGGAAATCCAAGTATCTTTGTTACCTTATATAAGTCAAGCTTTACAAGCCACATCTGAAATAAAATAGCTGTCCTAAATTTCCAAACACATACCCAGGCAGCTACTTGCATACATACACATGTTGGACTTTCTTGTCCATTTCCATCTTATAAAAGACTTTAGCTGAATGCCCTCATCTAAACCTAAGCCACATGAGATAAATGCTTGACATCAGTACACTACAAACACTTGGATACATACCTACATATCAATCCTAAATTGGAATAATTGTGGTTTCCTAATTTTGAAGCATCTATTGTCCTGTGAATGGCAACATACTAAACAATGAAAAATACTATGCCAGTTGCCTACCATATCATCTACCAACCTATAAAGAGACTCACCCAACTGCAATATAAATACTCCAAAACAAAAACTGAAGCAAAAAAAAAAAAGAATGGGGAAAATCTTTTAATGTTGCTTTGCTATTTTCTTTTTTGGTCACTATACTTCCTTTGTGAGCATTTAAACTATGAAGATTTCAAAAATGAAGAAAACAGAATGTGCAAGCCATGGTAGATAGTGTTAAACTGAATGGATAGGGTTCAGTAAGTATGCGCTGTTAAACAGAACAAAGATCAGTAACTCAGAAAGTCTTTGTGCAATCTTTTGCCAGATGGCTGGCGGCTACGATGTAGCAACTCTTTTGGTTGTAAAGATGAAGTTAAAGTATGGAGAGAGGGGTATTTCAAGCACTGTCAGAAAACCAAAGGAACTGTGTGAAGAATTCTGCAATCCAAACTAGAATCCAGTTGGGTTGCAGTGAGTTTCTGTTAACTTTGGAAGTTATGGATGCATGCTGGGAACCAGACATTGACACCCATGCTCACTTTGAGCAGTATACTACTTGGCATTAAATAAGACTTTTTCTGAAAAAAATGTACTTAAAATAGTTAAGGGATCTAGTCCTATGCATCTGTACGGTGCATGTTTTACGTATTTAAAGCTAAGAATTTTGGCTGTCAGTCTAGAAAGCTCCTGTATTATTTTTTACATATACAGGGTAAGGAATTCCTGTTGTATTGTTACTGTAAATAGCATTGTACTTTTTACATGCCATACTTGCAGCTGCAGCAGAAGCAGAGATTTCTCTTGAAATGGAATGCTGAGCCTGTGAAAATCCCCCAAACAATGTGACAAATACATCTGTGTTGGTCAGTGAAAGAACAAAGCTAACGTTCCAGAAGGACGTATGACAAAGCAAACAACAACACAAAACCAAAAACCCACTTGGGTCGGCAACTCCTACCAGTGTGGGTACAGCAGAGGAGCGACAAGGGAAAGTCAATTTGTGCAGTTCAGTGGACCCAGCTGCATCATGCCCTTGCCAAGGCGTAAGTCTTCATTCTTGGGGCAGCAGCCCTCCTCCACAACAGAAAACATTGGAGCCAGCAGCCGCAGGGTAAGCGTTGGGGGTGGAGGAGTCCTCTCCAGACCCCGAGGTGTCTATGTGGGTTCTGCCCCCACTGGAGGAGTGAGCAGTCTTGGGACCCGTGTGTCCCGTAGAGCCCTGGGCATCAGCAGTGTCTTCCTACAGGGACTGCGTAGCTCCAGTTCAACGGTGCCTTTAGCCCAGGGTCTGGAAAAAGCAAGGGGCCTGTCTTATGAAAGCCTGAATGGGCGCTTGGTAGAGTACATAGATAAAGTGAGAGCTCTAGAACAGGTCAACCAAGAGCTGGAGGAGCACATCAGAATCTACCTGGACAAGAAGTCCTCCAGTGTCAGCAGCTGGGGAGCACTGAGAGAGAACTGGGAAACCATCTACCATCAAGTGAGTACAAGATCTTTGACAGTGAAAAAGGTTAATAGATCATTAGCAAATCCCTAGCAGCGATTATTGATGCTGATGATAAATGCAGCCTGATTCCCAGGCACGGAGCCCTAGATGGAGGATTTAAAAATCTATCTTTATAATAATTAGCATTATCATTTCACAGTGTGTTGTGGAAAATGCCTATTAAGGAGGAGAATTGCCTCAGGCATTCTTTACACTAGGGTGACTGAAATGTACCCTAAGGCCCTACAGTCTGGCCTGATTAAAATTGGTTATTTTCTTGTAGCTGCTGTTATTAAAGTGAGGAGCACAATTATTATAAGAAAACTCCTAAGACTGAGTGAGTTTAACCACCAACATGATATCATTACAGGCTTGTTGCTTTGTAATTAGCAATTTAGATTTAACTTTTATTCTCTTATTTGCTTAATCATATTTTCAAAAGCTCTACTTACTTAAAAATAATAATTAGTCACAACCAAGAGCTTCCCTCTCTCATGCTTCCATCCTGCCACACGTGCACAACCTTTTATATGCAAGAAAGGCTGCCTCTGCAAGACTTTTGTACAGGAAAATGTTTTAGCACAGGACTGTAGTGTCCATGTCTGTCTAGTGGACAAATAATTAATACATATGAAAATTCAACATAGAGGCGTACAAATTATATATTTTGTTGGGCTAATGAAAGATTGCAGTAAAAATAGAAAGTATTTTAATATTATCACTTCACCTGGGCAGTGGTCCCTCCTAGCTGAGGATCTCAAAGCAATTTCCAAGTATTAGTTCACTAAATCTCTCAACATGCCTATGAGAGAGGTGGCTGGTCAGAGGGAAGCACAGAAAGATTAAATAAATTCCTTGAGGTAAAACAATGGATTTGTGGCAAAAGCCAATAGACCTAAACATTCTAATCCCTAGTTCTCTCCTTTAGCTGTGAGATTATATCTTCTCCCTTCAGCGAATCAGTCCTTTAACCAGATTAGAGGAAAGCAAAATGAAAGTTGAAAGAAACAAGAGCAAAGCATCATATCCTGGTCATTTGGTTGATGTGTTCCCTCCCCAGTCCCCCCACAACCAGAAGACAGGAGTTTGATCGGTTTCCAGACGTGCAACTCATTTACGACCTCTTCAATAAACCATGCCGCTTTTTGTGCTTTAGTTTACCTGGGTAATACAATAGCAATAGTTATACTTATCTGTTTTTGTAAAAACATTGAGGAATGAGTGCTGAGTCTTACTAGTATATTCAGAATCAAAGAACAATTGGGAGCTGCGTAGAGAAGTATCAGTTTTCTTTGGGAGTGAGTACCAGACCCCTGTACATATGGTAAAACTGCTCTTCCGTAATGGAAAAGCCTGAAAGAGTAAACAGATATTTGATGAGTCATTTTTCTTTTCACCAAAATGCAAAGCAATGCACCTGAGAAACTAGAGAGTTGTGTAGGCCAAATGTTTCAGTGCTTGATTTTTTTTGCCTGAACACTGGCACACAAACCCTCACATTTATCCACATAAACTGGATAGCTACACATGCCTGTATAAAACACTGGCTTAATGAATGCAGAGAGGTAGCTAGCAATGTTAGCCTGAAGTCAGGCAGGAAGCAGGATAGATTTGTTTATGCACCTTACAGATTAACTAAATCAGAAATGCACAGCATAAGCTTTCATAAGCAGTGGGCTTGCTTCAGCCAGGTCTTCTAATAGCTGCTATTGATTGATGGTCTTGCCTCATTAGCTCAAGTGTCAAGGAGACAAGTAATGGGGATGACATCTAATATGAATCCTTCTGCTGCCCCATAGAGACTTATAAAATAGGGCTACACTGGAAGAGAGGAGAGGAGAGGAGAAGAGAACTGAAATGCAAGATCCTAGCATTGGCACAGATGATATCCCCCAAAGGGAAACAGCTCCTTCCTTTTTATAAAAAGCATTTTCATTTTGTTTTCAATAGAAGAAATGTTTGAGGAGACTTACTGGATGGGCACTGGGAAATGGTTTGAATCATCTAGGTCACTGGCTTCTGTACAACTCAGCTCATTTGTTAGTTCTATGGGTAGGCCTTTGTGAAGTGAAACCGTTGGTGGTGTTAGGTCAGTAATCAAATCATCATCATGAAGAATAGATCCCTTTGTGGATGACACAGGGCCAGTCAGTTGGCCTCCTGTATGGAGTTGCTCAAATTACTTAGAGCCTGAGTTCTGAAAGGCATTTAGGTACCCAATTCCCTTGACTTCAACAGAAATTAGGCTCCTGAATACCTTTAAGAATATGGCCCTTATGTCCTAATATTGACTTCACCAACATAATTCCTCCCCTCTTGGAGTGTTACTTCTGATCTTCCCCATGGTTCCCCTGCCTGCCAAGAGCCGAGATTTGGCCAGAACAGTCCCAGGTTTGGTAAGTCAGTGTTGAGGACTCTTAGCAGAGCCTCTTCCAACTGCCCAATAGAAACCTTCCCTGAATACTGCTGGCTTCTCCTCTCACACCAGGAGGCCAGTCCCTAGTTCTGCTACCAACTGAACTAGCCATGACAAGGTAGGAAGACATGGGAACTTAAGTGGCTATGGGTAAGGGCCTTGTTGCACTTTACACTGTGAGCTGCACAAATGTTGATCGGTGTTACTGATAGTCTGGAATTTGGAGCAGTCACACCTTCAGTCTAGAAACCTTCGCTGATTTTCCCGCACCTGCACAGCTGTAACTTGCCACCAGAGGCCTGGTGAGCAGGGTCAGGGCTAGGAGCTGTAGCTGTGAATTGCCACTAGAGGACTGGTGAGCTAGGACAGGCTTCTATCCCTGCCCTACAGGGGTGGATGTGAGATACCCTGGGATACTGGAAGAATTTCAACTTGGGCAGCACATCTGTGGGGAGTGGCCACACATTAATGAAACAGGATCCAGGCAGTGCGAATCAGAGATAATCCTGCCCTGGAATGGCATAATTTTGAGCTGCATAACAAGTGCTTAAAACCATTTTAAAGTGTTAATGTGCACAATCCATGGGTTAAGTGCTCCAGGAGCCACCCAACATTACTGTGTAAGAAGACCCTAACAGAGAAAGCCTTCTAGAGATAAGAGAGCAGCATTGTGTAGCTAGGAGAGGACCTGGGGCTAATTCAGGCAAAGAGAAAACAGACAGGTCTTTGGAGACCACTATATGAGTAATAGTGACAAAGCCAGGAAACCCAGGGGTGCAGAAAGTAAAGCCACTCAGAATCCATAAAACATGCATGAATGTGTGTATGTTGGCCAATATGAGCCAAACTTGAGGCAATGAAGATATTTTGCTATGTTTACCTACTTCTCACCACATGCTTTGGGGAGGGTGAGGAGGAAGAGAAATAGGTTTCTCTTGCTCCTGACACTGAAGTTCTTAGAGAAACCTCTGGTGCTAGCAGGAGAAACAATAACAAAATTTGCTGCTTCTCCCACATGTTTCTGAAACAGCCGGTGATAGAATGAATAAGCAAATTCCAGTTGGTGGAGAGACTTCCCCCTGGGACAGGACAAGGTACTCTTGCAGGATCTCAAAAGCAGCACAATTCAATTTGTTTTACTAGCATTCACTATAACCTTACCTTTCATAAAATGTGCAGTTGATAGTTCTTTTAAAGTCTGAAGGGAAACTGTCTATTTACTATGACAGTTTTACACTTTAACTTGGGCAGGCAGCTGTCAGATGTACAATTTTTCCTATGAAAACGTTGGAGGAGATGAATTTTTAATAAAGTGCTTCGAAGTGCAAGGAAGAATGTCTTGCATTTGAAAGCTTGTCTAACTTTATCCCAACTAATAGTTGATCCAACAAAAGATATCACTCTAAGAAATCCTTGCCTCTTGCATAATTTCTAGACCATCATGGCTATGTCACTCTTACACAATGGTATTTTTAAGACATGTATGTACCAGGTGATGCAATGGATGTCATTTTTACTAAAAACAGCATATGCTGATGTGCAAAATCTAAAATAGCAGTGGAGTGGTAAAATTATCTACTGATTCTTTTTCCATAACATTTTTCTATTGTTTTATGTTAGTTAATTGCTTTGAGCCCTACTCTTATGAACACATGATTCTGAGAGCTCCTAGTGAAGCTAATGAGAATTCTGAGCATGG